CTGTGTGTGTGTGTGGGAGGGGGGGGGGGGATGTAGGAGGGGTCAGAGGTTAAGTGCTGGTTGACAGCAACTGCTGCTGCTGCTGCTGCTCCACAGAATTATATTTCATTTCATTTCTCTGACAAAAGAACTGCTTGGACTCTAATTTGTGTGTCGAACTAGGGAATTTTTTTCTTTTTCCTATTTTTGTAACATCAAACTGAGTCGGAGTTTTAAATTTTGAATAGCCAAGCTGGAACATACATTAAATCAAAGGCTAGGTATTGAGAAATTATTAACATATTTATATTCGACAATTTTTCCAACAATTTTTTTAAATGAATAGTAAAGCTCAGTACATATTACGATTTGGTAAAGTCACCTCCGAACAGTCAATTTCATAATATGAATTAACACGAAGCATACTACCACGTTTAGTTAAAGACGGAGAAGAATAATCAGTAAGACGGATCAAGTCACACACGAGATTCCCAGTTGAAGCCAAACAAGGGACAAAGCAACAAGAATTCTTTCCTGACAAAAATGGGTCTTACCTCTGTTAAAATAAAGGGGTTTTTGTTGTGTAAAGATCGTCAAAGTACTTAGAATATTGCTTGTTGAAAGCCATGAAAATTGTGGCCTTATTGAGCCCCATATTCCTGAATATCCTGTCAATTTTGAGAGATATTCAGGCACGAATTTTGCGTGTGGAGCAAGGCACTAAACTGAACATCAATTAATTGCGAATGTAAATATGTTCTCGGTTAAGTCTGTCTTACATTTTCGCCAATCTCGCACTCCATTTCCATTTCTTTTAAATGCCCTTATATGACATCCTTCGCATATTTCGGGCTGTTTTATTTACTTTCTTTCACTTTTTATTCAGCTTTTTCCATATAACGCCTATGCACAATCTCTGATAAGGTTTACAATTTGTTTACCATTTGCTAAAAGGCAACATACACACACACACACACACACACACACCAACAAGTCACGAATTGTTATTTCCTTTTTTATTGTTTTTACGCTTTTCTCTGCTTTTGAGCTTTAACATGTTCGTTTTCGCTTTTAGCTCGATTTTGCAAAAAAAACCTTTTCAGTTGTTGTTTTTCTTGTTTTCGGCTTGTTTTCTTTTCTTTTCTTTTTTTTTTTTTTGCTTCTCACTTTATTTACTTTCGCTGTGTTTTTATAGTTTGTTCATATTCTTTCGCTGAGTCTGTGTGTGTGTGTGTGTGTGTGTATTTATTTCTATATCTGCGTGTGCTATTTTCATGATGCTGACATAAATCTGTGATATATTGCCATGCAGCTGTTGGGCCGATAAATTTTTACCACGGTTGCCAGCCAACGCTTTAGTTTTATTTAGCGAAAGGCTTTCGCCTCACACTAGCACTGTCTCACTGCCTCCACCCCCCTCTCGCCCGCTCTCGCTCTATCTCTCTTTCTCACTTTAAACTGCAGCGCCAACACGTTAAAACTCTGCGCTGAATTCCCCGTAGACATCCAAACCCAGTTTACTGAATCAAATCAGAAGCTTGATGACAAAAAGTCACGTTCCCTTCCCCCTCTCTAGACCAGTCTCCAGTCAGGCAGTGCTACAAAAGTCATTACATAACAAGTGTTGGCCACATTCCCAGCGGACACTTGAGCATAATTAATGCGCTGCCCGCGAAATGGGCACAGCCATACACAAGTGCAGACAACGAGTGAGGCGTGGCGTGGGCGCTCAAAACTCCGCAATTGTCGCTCCCAAATTAATTTGTATAATTTTGCAAAAATAAAAGCGAAGCTGGGGAAGGCAAGAAAAATGAATATATAGACCTGGCAGCAACGAAATTTGCTCCCACGGGTAAATCCCTGCACTCAAATGAAGTTTTGCGCGCCTCGCGCCCTGAAAAGTAGGCAATTATTTTGTGGCCCGTCACAGCAAGGCAAAAGGTAACAAAAACGAAGGGTATAAATAATGAGGAAATACAGGTTGACTGACTACAAGTCAAGGGCCGAGCAGTGGGAGAAATTTAACGAGACAGCTGTGAGGGAGGGGTGCGGGTTTTGGGAGTTGGCATAGTTACAAAGTAATTGAGGGGCACATGGATCTATAAGACCGCATCGAAGGGTAAATTATGATGAGAAATTAAAAAGGGGTGATATAATAATTTTTCAAAATTAAAATTGTATTTAAACAGAAAATATATTCAAGCACTTAAAAAGTTAGCTGCTACAGTAACTATATTTTATATAGAATATAGAACAGCAGCAAAATATGTAGAATTAAATGTATTCATTTCTTTCTGCTTTCGTTATAAAGCCTACAGGCCCTTAAGGCTGTGAAACAAAGAAGAAATGCAAATAAAACAAATATTAATAATAATAATAATTTGCATAAGGAAATGCGAAATAGCATTAGAAGAGAAAGTTGGACTCATAAGTGCTGAGCTTGATGCAAATATCTTGGAAAATAGAATATTTTGCGTTACGAAAACCTACGTTTCGACCGGGTTGGAGATATCTCCTTCTATGCGTTACGCATTTCACGATAACATTATATCTCCACTGTGTTTGGCTGCCCGAACAAGAATTGTTACAAGAGCTGTCAACACTTCTATTCCAATTTGCCAGCAAATGCTTTCTTAAAAATATAAATTGTGATGCATAGAAAATTCGCTCAGCTTTTACGCAACAAAGTTTGTCATACACAAATTTATGTTTGCGTTTAAGGAACGCAGCCATATTCGAGTTGGGTTTCGCAAATCCATTTCTTGGCTGCGCCTCTTTGTTGCATTGTTCGGTGTTGACCCAAATTTTGCCTCTTCAAACCCTAAGCACAACGCGCAACCTGAGCTGCTACGGTTCAGCTCTCCTCGCCTCTGCTGTAACTAACAGCTTGTATGTATTTGTTCGCAATGATTTGGTACCTTGAAACCGTAAAAAACAAAAGCTGAAAAAAACACAATTTGAAGCTTAACAAATTTTTCACGCTTTGCCTGCAACCAAAATAATAAATAAAACTTTTCTTGTGTTTAATTTTTTTGTTTATTATTTTGTTTCTTTTTTTTTTTTTGTTCGCTTTTTATTTGTAAATTTTGTGCCCGTTTTTTTTTTGTTATTGTTACATGTTTCTAGATATTTTTCCTAGATTGTTGTGTTTTCGCTGTTTATTTATTTGTGTGTGTGTGTGTGTGTGTGTTATTTTTTTGGCATTTTTTGTGCTCGCTGCGGCCAGCAAAAAGTTAAGGTTTATTTATTCTGCTGGCCACCGCGGATCCAGCAAAAGCCACCTGCACTTTTTCTTTTACGTGCCAACGAGCACGCGGAGAAAACGAGAGAGTGAGAGTGGGTAGAGTGGGCGTGGAAGTGGGAGGGCTGAAAATAGCCAGTAAAACGCAAAAAACTTTTCACTTTTTAGCCAGCGGCGGCTTTTCTGGTGGTTTTTCTGGCCGAGCTGCAGGTATTTATATTTAAATGCTGCTTGTGGCACGCCATTGCGCCTATTGTTATGCAATGAAAGTTTTGTGTTCGCATTGTTCTTGCACGTTACGAAACGAACAGCCCATCAGCCGACCGGCCTTAGGCACAGAGAGAGAGAGAGAGAGAGAGAGAGAGAGAGAGAGAGAGAGAGAGAGAGAGAGAGAGAGAAATAGATGAACATTCTCCAATACGCGCTGTTGGGCCAGACAATCTCTGGGCGTTCCAGCCCAGCAGCTGTTCCATTGATGCGTGCGACCTTCAACAAGCCCAAGCTCGACGTTTTTATTATGTTATTGACTTCTATGACCACATTTTCACACCGCATATGCGAGCAGCCAAGGTCCTTGACAACAGACCACATGAGAAACACCCAAAGGAAGCGTGCAAAAATCGAGCTGAGTTGTCTTTCGTAGACCGAAGTTTATATACCCTTACCCTTATAGGACAAAGCATGAGATTCAACTTTATTTGTCGACTTTTTTTTCCTTTAAGATCTTACGGATAATTCTTATTTAAATTTAAAACCTAAAAATTCAAAGCTGCCTGCGCGCTCTGCATCTTGCATCTTAACTAGAACCAGCGAAAATCGCTGCAAGATTTGAGCCAGCGAACCTGCGCTTGTTAGTTCGACGCGCAGCTTTGTGTATATTAAACATGTTACACAATTCGTCAGTCAATTCAAATGCCCTCGATTAGGGCATAAGAATTGGTTTATAAAATCAGTGAGCCATAATTTGTTGTCGCTTTTCTCTCGCTCTTATCGCTGCCTACATTCATTTTTTTTTTTTTTTTGGCATAGTTTGTACTATCGTTAAATTGCCCTGCAGCCCATATAGCCGATATATATATATATATCGCCATGACATAAATATAAATATAAATTTTTATATTTTCTTGTCTGGCAAAAAGCTTTTGCCCAACTTGCAAAGTCTTCACGGCCAATCTTCTTTCTTTTCTTGTTAGATATATATTGAAGTAAATATACTTTCTTTCCTTTGCCGGCTTTTTGGTCGCTTGCAAAGTAAAATTTATTAGAAACGCAAAATCTGTTTGCAGATTGTGTTTAAGATTTGATTATTTATGTACAGCTGTTTGCAGTTGTGGCCGCCTTTAGCTGAATAGTTGCCTTTAAGCCGGGTTTTGTGTAAGTCCAGGCCGAAAAGAAGGCAGCTTAATAAGGGGGAATAAAAATATACTAAACTCAACTTACGGAAGTGAATCAAAAACAAAGTGGTCTCAAATTTAAGTTGATGCTTAAATAAATAAATTTAAAAAACTTTGGACACTTTAAATTTAGTTTATTGGCCCAACAATTAAAGTTAATTTTATGCTGTTTTATCCGCCCGCTCTTTGTTAATCCACACACTCTTTGAGTTCGTCTCGAGCAGCCCAATTAAACTGCAGAATCGCGCAACAGAAACGCTTAAACTTAGCTCGGGCTAATTAACGTTAGGCACTGCCGAGCAGAATCTAAACAATCTAACAACAATAACAACAACAACAAAAATAATAATAAAACAGAAATATTTTCGTTTGCTTTATTTTTGCAGAACGAAACGAAGTACGAAGCGGAACTGGAGCGTGGCGGCCAAACTAAACAGCAGGTAAATTGTGCAAACAACTCGACGTGCAATTAACGCTGAATTAAAAATAAATATTAATACAAAAATCATAATCATAATAAATTACGTACTTAAATACACATTTGGCTCAGAGCAGTTTTGCTGAAAAATGCTTTCACTTTGCAGCTGTCACAACTGTTGCATGTCAAAATACAGATACATATAGATAAAAGACATATATAAATAGGCCGCAATATATATATATATATATATATGATATTGCCCTAGTCCGCGGCCTTTACAAACAGTTGAAAAGTTTTATGCTTGCCGCTTGCCCACGTTCTCCGAAAAACAAACCACAGACCACATTGTAGAAAAATAACACACAAAACTTTACCCCAAGCGCCATTAAGGGGTTAAATAGATTTTTTTACATTATTTTTCTTTAACTTGGTCGCCGTGGCGACAGCGCTGCGAAAACTTTTCCGCTGAGTTTTCCATTTTTATTTCGTGCGTCCGCAAATATTGACCGAATTAACAAAGCTGGAAACAAAAATCACAACAAAAAAAAAACGACTGGCAGTTGCTCTAGTCGGGAGTGCTCGACTACCAAATAGCCTCAATCCAAACATTCTTAAATACACACACACACACACACACACACATACAAGCGCCAACACACATAGATACTAGTAGGATAAGCTTCTTTGTTCCTTTGCCCAACAAACGGAGCATAGTTTATAGTCCGATCCAATAGACATGGCTCTAGAAGCTTCGCACCAAATATTGTATATCTAGCTCTTATGATCTTCGAGCTATGTCAAACCCAAGCCTAAAAGCCTATTTTCGAATCGAAATTCAACGATTTTATCGGACAAATAAAAAGACTTGTTCTGCATAAGCTATAGGAAAAAAATACTTTCATACTCTTCGAGTAATATATAGGACACCATGTCTTAAAGCCGACATTTAGAAAATTAGAAAAGATACCGAACACAAATTAAATCTTTGCTCTGGAAAAAGTATAGAAGAATATATACATATATATTCTAAGCTGCAAGCTAGTAGAAGAAATATAGAATATAGATTAAAAAAATAGATTTTAAGCTTTAAACCTAGCTTTTGCAGCTCTTATGTTCTTCAAGCTATGCTCACGCTTGGCCTTAGTCCGAATAGACGGGCTTGGCTAGATCAAATCTGCTCTTCAGTTTGCTCAAGAGTCGGAGATGCTTCCTTTTGCCTGTTGCACGTGCTTGCACAAAGCCAATCTACCCCTTGCAATCATTTTTTTCGGTGGCTCCAGGGTATATATAAAAAAAAAGGTTGTACCGCAAACAAAGCGCGTCAGTTTCCCCGCTTTGAATGGGTTACTTGGCGTCAACGGGTTAACAATTAGGCGAGCTATATAATAACTATTTTCCCAGCAGCAGAGCTCTACTCCGATCTTAACTCGTTCCCAAATGGAGCCCGACAAATTGTAAACGTCAAATAAAGATGCGATCGCGGCGGAAATAAAACTAAAACACAATTTATGCCAAGCGAAGGGCTAAGGCAGTTAGGAGTTGCATGTTGCTCAAGTGGTAAGGGAGAAGGGTTGTGGGGGTGGGGGTGGGGGTGTGGGCTGCTAAGTAAGTGGGTGGCAACTACAAAATGCGGCCATGTACTGGTATTTGAGAATGCCGCGCACGTTTGGCCATGAAGCTACGTGTCTGGTGCAGAAACAGAATCGGGATCACGGCACAGCTTCGGGCCAGTCAGCAGTTCATTGGGTCGAAGGGGGTGCGGGCGAGTCGAGGGGGTTGCGGCTGCGAAACTGACCACCATCACTTGAAATGTTGGCTAGCAAAATGTTAAAAGCTAAAAGTCATGCAACTAAATCCTGTCGAAAGCGTTTTAAACTATAAAAAAGGATTTGTGCTAAAAAGCAGCTAAAGATTTTTGCGGCCAACAGCTAAGTGAAGTGCGGAACGGGGGAAAGGACGGAGCGGGGGGCGCGGAGCCCGATGCAAGGCAGATAAAAGAGAGCGCAAGTAGCTGGCTTAAAAGAAAAAAAAGGAATATTAAGAAAAAAGTAAAATCGAAACGAATTGTGAATACGCTAATGAACGAATGTATAAAAAGCCAGCGTGGCCAATAAAAATTATTAATTTATAAGCAACAAAAAGAACACAAATTCATGAAGATTTGAACCATCAAAAAAGAAGTAAAATAAATTTTAATATTATAGATGCCTTTGCGAAACGAGAAATTGGTTTGCTACGCTCAAATCTGTTCCTTAATGTATTATAATATTAGCTATTAACTAGATTATATTATCAATTACCTATATCCCATTAGCTACTATCTAGAACACAATCACCTAATTGACCAACAAACATTACTTAAACAATATTGGCTTAGTCCAAAGTTCTTTAAACCTGTTAAAAGCTTTCAATTAAAGTGTGTAAAACTTTGTTGCCGCACAAAATGCTTACGAGCTGTTCGATATCAGAAATTGTTCGAAAGTAGCCGAAAAAGTTTTGGAAAACTAATTTTGTAATTTTCTCTTAAATTGCCGCAGGCCAGCACAAACAGTTCGGTGTGTCGGCTATGTCCGATGTAGGGCACAAATTAAGTACCGCACGTTGTCATGCCAAGCGAGAGTATCGAAACATGGCCAAGTCGGATGGGGATCGGTGCGGCTGGGGGGCCGGGGGCTAAGGCCGAACTAAAGCCAAGTCGCCTGGCAAATAAGAACTTGTGTAGCGTTGAGTCAGCATTAAGTGCAGCCCGGCATGCAACATTGCCTGCATGCAATGCGAGTGGCAAACCTCCCCCCCTCCCCTCCACCATCCTACCCCAGCATACAACACAATTCCCCCCGGCAGGAGCCGCTCAACATGGTCCTCGTCCTCGTCCTCGTCCTCGTCGCTGTCAATGACTGTCAACGCCAGAGACAGGCAGCAAAAGCGAACCACGACATGGCTTGCACTGACTGCAGCCAGGGATTGCAGCAAAGCGAGAAAGAGAGAGAGAGAGAAAGAGAGAGAGAGAGAGAGAGAGACAGATAAATAGACAGAGAGCGAGGCTGGGCATTAAGGGTATGGGGAGTCGGCTTGCCAGAGTTGACATTTCAATTTTCACACACGCTTTTGCGGTTGCTTCACATGAATTGATACGCAACTAGAAGGCGGCAAAAAAAAAAAAAACGGAAATTAAAACCCAATAAAATCACATGGGGAAAAGTAACAGCTCGAGTTTGGCTTGAATTGGCCCACTTGAAATTAATTTAGGAATCCCCCAGTGACCACGCCCATGCCCGTTGCTAATTAACCGCACAGAAATGGGCCCAAATATCGCAACGACAGCAAAGGGGCGTTGCCTCTGTTGGAATAGTTACGGCTCGGGTTCAAGGTCCTTGCCGCAAGGTCGCGCCAGAAGCAGTTGTGGATTTGGTCACATCATAAATACATGGCCTACTCTACGACTACAGCTGCTACGTCTTCTCCTTCTCCTTGTCACTATTCAAAATAACATGCAAATTTCATGGCCTACAGCATGTGCTGGCCATTAGCAGTAGGCTCTAACAAAGTGCAAATGAACATTTTCTATACCCTGTACTTTTCAGTATATGTGAAAGGGTTATAAAAGATTGAAAATGTGATGAAACATAAATAAATATAGGTGCAACACGAGTGGAATGCTAAGGAAGACGGACGGGGTTATTCGAAAATTTCACCTGTAGGGGTGAAAAATGAGAGGAATCCTAACCAAGACTGCCATAGCTAGCAAAATTATCAACAGAATCTTTAGAGATTGTCGTCAGTTTCACCTGCGAAGGTGGAAAATGAATGGAATTCCTGTCAAGGCGGATTTTAAGAGCTAGGAAAGTTGTCTACAAATTATTCCAAAGATTTCCGTTAGTTTCAATTGCAAATGTGGAAACTGAGTGTTTCCGGAGTTTTTCGTAAGTTTCACTTGCAAAAGTGGAAAATGAGTGGAATTGTAATTTGTTGATTTCTTCATCTGGCCAATTGGCATCAAACTTCTTTTAAAACCTCAGAGTATTCCTTTATAACAGCAAATATTACGCACTAAAATCTCTATTGATATATTTTTTATACGTTCCTTTTTACATTTTTTTTTCAAAGAAGAAAAATGCAAAAACATTTCTACATAATCTGCTTTTGCTTAATAATTATTTAAAAAGAAACAATTGCACTATAATATTTTTACATATCTTATTTACATTTTTAAAGCTCTGCCAAAAAAGTGAATAGCTGCGTGCCATAGCAAATTCCTTTAATCCACATTGATGGGTGGAAAATGGGTGTAAATTATATAGTTTTTGCCCGATAAGAGGCTTATGCTGATTTTGAGCGGCGTTACAGCGTGTCAGCTAGTTAAGCACTGCCGACTGAAATGTTCACACACATTTTTTTTCGCTTCTTTGTGCAGCTTCGTTGACATTGCAAATAAATGGGTGTGGTTAAAAACTGTGTCAAGCTGCAAGTGCAACGCAACACAGCACAACAGAGAACACAACAGGAAATGTGGAAAAATTTGTTTAGATTTTCAGCGAATTGCTCAGCCCCCGTAGAGCATTGGCTGCATTGGCTGCATTGGCCATTGTTCGGCCCGGTTGTTGTCCTGTTTTAAATGGCTGCTTTCCCATATGCCGCGTATATGTTTTAATATATTTTATTGTTTATGACATGTGGGTCAAGCAATTGCAATGCAATCGTTACCAGCGCGTAAATTGCTTCAAGGGTTTGAGGAAGGAAACGAAAAAAAAATAAAAAAAAAAACATAGGGCAGAGAATAGGGTGCGGAAAAAGGTTGGGAAACTAGTGTGAATTGCTCGTGTATTGTTGATGAACGAAAAGGGGGCGTGTGCAGCACGTGGATGTCGCCGCGGGGCACCACGACCCTTGCTGCATATTGCACACAGAGTGTAAAATTTTGAGCAAATTGCATAAATTGTTTTCTGTTCAAGTATTGCGAAATCTGCATGTAAATAGGTGTATGAAATTTTCAAACTTTGGGTGAATTTGTATGCAATG